TGTGGACAGAGAGGACTGCTGGTTTGAATGGAAACCAAACAAGTTCATAAATGTATGGCACAACATAGGAGAACAACCCCGTCAGGACAAGATTCAGCAGTCCATCTGCATTTAGAAGACAAAGGCCGCTCTTTCGAGGACAGCAAAGTCCACATTTTGGACAGAGTGGACCGCTGGTTTGAAAGAGGGGTCAAAGAGGCCATCTATTCTATGTCAAAATTGAACAGCCCTCTCTCAACAGAGGGGAAGGGATACGACATCATCAATCTCCAGTCTACAACACGGTCCTTTCAGCAGCTCCAGGAAGGCTCCACACCCATTTGCACCACTCAGGTGACCCTGACAACCCAGATAAACTTCCAAGTGGCCTCAACGACTCTCTAAAACAGGGGTCTTCAAACTTGGCCCTTTTATGACTTGTGGACTTCAACTCCCAGAATTCCTCAGCCAGGCACGCTTGCTGAGGAATTCTGGGAGTTGAAGTCCACAAGTCATAAAAGGGCCAAGTTTGAAGACCCCTGCTCTAAAAGAATGCAAATGACCAGCTGTCTGCAAAGAATATAAATCCTTCCCTTCCTCACCATCCAGTCAGAGCTGAAGAAGCTTCTTGGATGAGAAACGAAACGTCCAAAGAAAAACAAGAAAGTCCAGTTGCTTCGTGAAAAAGCACCTTTGGGACAACCCTGACCTGGATGACGGAGAATCTCCACAGACGTTCAAGGGTGATAATAACCACTGGAATGAGCGTTGCTTCAAATAAGCTTATTCATGGCCTGTTTCTTTACTCCCCATGGGAGCAATTAATGGGGTCATTGCTCAAGACCCATCTGGCTTGAAGTAACCTGGCCACCCACCTCACTGTTTACACCCAGGTTTTGGAGAGTGGGTGTGACTTTTATTGATATAAAACCCTCAAGAAGCCAGGTGGTGCAGGAGAAGGTGCCTGGATCAGCACAAGAAAAAAGACAGACCTGCAAGATTTTGGCAGAAGGTGGAAGTGGGATCACCACCTGGATCTGCCTCGGCTGCCTAAGGGGATCCAGAAGCCTTCTTGATCAAACCAAGGGCGGCATCCTCCTAGCTGGGACCTGCAACGTTGCGCTTTTCCCACAACTGTGCCAAAAGACTCCTTTGAGCCCAGTTTGGCAGCTCTTCCAAATGCCAGTCAACCCGGGTTGAGTTAAGGAGAGGCTGCTTCTGAACACAAGCTGAGCACCCTTCCCTCTCTAGCACTTCTAGTCAGTTTCTGGGAATCTAGGTGTGAGCCAGCGTACGGGATTTTGGAAATTTACATCGGCAAAGTTGCCTTCTAAAAGAGGAGCAGACTCTTGGGCTCCCGGAGAGGTTAAAAGTGGCTTCCCTCACAGATAGGCTAGGAATGTTGGCTCTGAATATGATTCCCACCAAATTATGCCCAGTGCAGGGTCTTCAAACCTGGCCCTTTTATGACTTGTGGACTTCAACTCCCAGAATTCCTCAGCCAGGCATGCTAGCTGAGGAATTCTGGGAGTTGAAGTCCACAAGTCATAAAAGGGCCACGTTTGAAGACCCCTGGCCTAGTGTTTCTCAACCTCAGCAACTTTAAGATGGGGGGACTCCAACTCCCAGAATTCCCTAGCCAGCCATGTTGGCTGGCCAATTCTGGGAGTTGAAGTCCCTCCGTCTTAACGTTGCCAAGGTTGAGAAACACTGAAGTAGCTCCTGCTTGATTTTGATTAAATGTACATGTCAACAAAATGAAAAATCCATGTTGTTTTTGTGCTGGCCCCAGCTGCTATAATTCTGGCCTACACCCCCTTATCTGACACTTCAAAATGAAGTGTGTCCTTAGTGTGAAAAAGTTAGAAACTCCATCCTGCCTTAGGCCCATCCTACCCACAGCTACGCAACAGACTCCTCATAAAAGACACTTGATGCGCTATAAAGTTTTGGGAAGAAAGGAATGGCGATTCGTTTATAGCCGACTATAAGAGGGCAGTAGTGTAGCTCAGAAAACCAGCCAGTGTAGCCTACAGATCTAGGATATTTTATTTTTTCATCTATCCCCAAAATGAACTGGATCTGACCCTCTTGGGTTTTGGGATCAGCTGACACCACTCTACCTTCTCTTTCGGCTGATGCTACAAAGTCCTAAACCAGGGATGGGGAACCTTGGCTCTTTTATGACTTGTGGACTTTAACTCCCAGAATTCCTGAGCCAGCAGAATTCCTCTGAGCCAGAATTCCTCAGCATGGCTCAGGAATTCTGGGAGTTGAAGTCCACAAGTCATAACAGAGCCAAGGTTCCCCACCCCTGTCCTAGACCTAGAAAACAAAAACAGGTAGTCCTCGACTTGCGACCACAACTGAGTCCAAAGTTTCCAGTTGCTAAGTGAGATGTGCTTCATTTCAAGACCTTTCTTGCCACAGTTGTTAAGGGAACCAGTTATGACAGATATTACTGATATCACTGCAGTTATTAAGTGCGGTTGTTAAGCGAATCTGGCTTACGCCATTGGCTTGGCGTGTGGGAAGTCACTTGAGAAGGTCACAAATGGTGATCACACGATGCCGGGACAATGCAACTGTGATAAATACATGCCAGTTGCCAAGCCCCTTAATTTTGATCACGTGACCATGGGGAACGGCCGCAACGGTCGTTAAGTGTGAAAACAGGTCGTAGGTCACTCTTTTCATTGCTCTTTTAACTTTGAGCGGTCACTAAACAAATGATTGTAAGTCAAAGGACTGCTTGTATACAGGTTGTTCTAGGAATACCATCTCTATGTTTTCTTTTTTTCCCTCAGATCCTTTCTCCCTCATAGTCACAGGGCAGGGGTCTTCAAACTTGGCCCTTTTATGACTTGTGGACTTCAACTCCCAGAATTCCTCAGCCAGGCGTGCCTGGCTGAGGAATTCTGGGAGTTGAAGTCCACAAGTCATAAAAGGGCCAAGTTTGAAGACCCCTGACTTAGGGGACAGATTGAGGGAAACGGGTTGATATGCTTACGTCTTCCTTGACTTCATCCACAGTTCTACCAACTTTGGCCACTTCGAGCTTTTTAGAGAAAATATTTGTAGAAGAAATGGTTGGAACGGACAATGTCCCAGATCTTGGGTTGAATACATCTCCAGGGGAAAATCCAATTCTGTTGTCTGACCAATCCAGAGAAACTCCCTCCCCCCAGAGCAAAATATCCATGGTCCTATAATGACCATTTCTCCAGATTCTGATTTTGCAAATTGGAAACAGCTCAACTTTCTGTCAGTTCCCTAACCTGTTTGGGGAAATCATCAGGAATGGAAATTAACATCCCGATTCATATAGTGGGTTCAGCCGTACTGGCAAAATTCACAGAAAAGCCCATTCTGGGACAGAGGTGGCAGGAAAGGAGAGTTTTGGAGCAGAGACAGGGACGAGTCAGGGAAAGTTCCGGAAGGAAGCCTTACCGCCAATGGGAGCAGCGAAGCAGCACCCAACGCCCACCGCGCAAGCAGCCGCCAACATCTCAATATTGCGGGATTCATTCTGCAAGAGAGAGAGAGAGAGAGAGAGAGACTGCTATGTGCCCAGAGAACAGCCACTGAGATTGAAATCATAAAAGTGACTTCAGTGAAAGAAAAAGCATCTGTAAGGGAGATGGGCAGTTTTTAAATTCAATAAACAAATTAATTAACACCACAAGAAAGGCTGTTTTCTCACGGCGCTCTCCTTTTCTGTCAATGTCACGGAGGGTTAAGTTGATACGCAGACCACAAATAAGCCATCCCACATTAGGAATTCTCCTTCAGCTCTTACTTCCCGTCTCTCCTGGCCTTTCTCAGCTTTCAACATATATTTTTATCCATTAAGTGCTAAAAACAGACCTCCTAAATAGCTTGGACTATAATCCCCATTGTTCTAAGACACCCTGGCTTTGGGGCACGATGTAACACTAGCTGGTGGGCAAGAGATTTCGAGAATGAAGTCATGAATCTAATCATAATAGGGTAACAGGAATAATGCAACAGCAACAAGTCCACAACAGCATTTTCCTAAGAGTTCAAGAGTACTTGTAGGATTTTGGGGCTATCACCATAAAGTAGGCCTGGATTTAGTTTTTTGTTTGTTTGATGGATTTCTATAATTTCGGGGTTATTATCCCCAAATTACAAATCCTAGGACTGCTAGGGCAGGGGTCTCCAACTGTGAGCTGTGGCCCACTATCGGGCCTATTCAGAATTGGGTCGTGCGAGTGGCTGGCCAGAATGCACTGATGATGTTACCTAGCTTGGTAATGAGACGTCTGCAAGAACACAACCAAGCTCAGATTACACCAAGGGTCCTTGATTAACCAACAGTTTGGGGTTTTCCAGTCATCTCGTTCTTCCATTGTCAGAGCCCATATTATTATTATTATTATTATTATTATTATTATTATTATTATTATTATTATTATTATTATTAATAATAATAATAATAATAATAATAATAATAATAATAATGATAACAATAATAATAAAGTTGGAAGGGACCTTGGAGGTCATCTAGTCCAACCCCCTGCTCAGGCAGGTAACCCTATACCATTTCGGACAAATGGCTGTCCAGTTTCTTCTTAAAAACTTCCAGTGTTGGAGCATTCACTGCTTCTGGAGGCAGGTTGTTCCACTGGTTAATTGTTCTAACTGTCAGGAAGTTTCTCCTTAGTTCTAGGTTGCTTCTCTCTTTGGTTAGTTTCCATCTGTTGCTTCTTGTCCTGCCTTCAGATGCTTTGGAGAATAGCTTGACTCCCTCTTCTTTGTGGCAGCCCCTAAGATATTGGAACATTGCTATCATGTCCCCCCTCATCCTTCTCTTCATTAAACTAGACATACCCAATTCCAGGAACCGTTCCTTATATGTTTTGGCCTCCAGTCCCCTTATCATCTTTGTTGTTCTTCTCTGTACTCTTGCTAGAGTCTCAACATCTTTTTTACATCATGATGACCAAAACTGGATGCAGTATTCCAAGTGTGGCCTTACCAAGGCCTTGTAAAGTGGTATTAATACTTCACGTGATCTTGATTCTATCCCTCTGTTAATGTAGCCCAGCACTGTGTTGGCTTTTTTGGCAGCTGCAGCACACGGCTGGCTCATATTTAAGTGACTGTCCACTAGGACTCCGAGATCCCTCTCACAATTACTACTGTGAGTTACTACTATTCTTACCTTGCAGCCTCAGAGGTAGCTACTCACCTCGTAAATGCCTCCAAAGACGGAAAGGAACTTGCTGAGGAGGGCTGCACACATGCTGGCTATGTGGACAAAGGGTCCCTGCACACAGGAAAGGGAGGAAGAAGAGATTAGCAAGATCAGCAGATTGTTGCTAGGGCCCAAACACTCTCCAGGTTATTATTTTTATGTATTTATTCAGTTTCTATAGCCGCCCATCTCAATCAATGATCTATGTGCCCAGTTATGGAGGCTGAAGAGGCAGCTGGATTAACCAGCCTTGGGAAGAGTTGGAAGGGACCCCAGAGATCATCATGTCCAACCTTCTGCAGGGTTCACTACAGATAGTCCTTGACTTATGACCACAACCGAACCCCAAATTTCCATTGCTAAGCAAGAACAGCTCTTCAGTGAGTTTTGCCCCCATTTTAGGACCTTTCTCGCCACAGTTGTTAAATGAATCACTGCAGCTGTTAAGTGAGTAACATGGTTGTTAAGTGAATCTGGCTTCCCCATTGACCTTGCTTGTCAGAAGGTCTCAAAAGGGGATCACATGATCCCAGAACACTGCAACCATGGTAAATACGAGACAATTGTCAAGGACCTGAATTTTGATCACATGCTGCAGTGGTCACAAGTGTGAAAGACGGTCATAAGTCACTTTTTTCCAGTGGCGTTGCAACTCTGAACAGTCACTAAACGAATGATTTTAAGTCGAGGACTACATGCACACTATCCCTGACAGATGGCTTCAGTGAAGGGCAGAAACCACTTCAAGAAGAGTCTATTCCCATGGTGGCGAACCTTTGGCACGCGTGCCACAGGTGGCACGCAGAGCCCTCTCTGTGGGCACGCACCCCGTCGCCCCAGTCCTAGGCCTTCAGCTGGGTTTTAGAAAACCTTTTCGCTTTAGGCCTCCGCCGCTGTGTACAAAAAAAAAAAAAGGTTCAATCAATCAATTTCAACTTCTCGCGGGGAAAAAAAAGATCTCGCAAAGTTGGAATTGATTGATTGAACTTTTTAGTCCCACTCAGTCTGCTGTTACCACCGCAGCCACGCCCACCCAATGGGCCACGCCCACCCAATGGGCCACGCCCACCCAGCCCCCGACGATGCATAAGTGGGTTTTGGGTTGCAGTTTGGGCACTCGGTCTCTAAAAGCTTTGCCATCACTGGCCTATTCACTGACTGGCAGCTCTTCCTGTCAAGACATTCTTCTCAATTTCTAATTTTTATCTACATCCTTGAAGTTTCATCCTTTCAGCTTGAATTCTTACCCTCTGGAGCAAGTGAGGAGAAGTCTCAAGTTTCAGAAACTTGAAGACAGGTAGAGATTGTTTTCAAGTTATGATCATAACTGGAGTCCCACAATTACGGTTATAAGCCATGATGGGTGTGGTGGCGCAGTGGTTAGAATGCAGTATTGCAGGCTAATTCTGCCGACTGACAGAAGTTTGATCCTGACCGGCTCAAGCTTGACTCAGCCCTCCATCCTTCTGAGGTCGGTAAAATGAGGACCCAGATTGTTGGGGGCAAATACGCTGACTCTGTTGACCGCTTAGAGAGGGCTGTAAAACACTGGGAAGCGATATATAAGTCTAAGTGCTATGGCTGTTGCTATGATAGTTGTAAAGCAGATCATCACATGACTAAACCTGACTTTCGCAGCAGCTGTTAACTGGATGTGGCAATTATTTAATGAAGCCATTGTACACTCTGAGCCACTTTTTGCAAGGAACTGGAAGTAAAAGCAGGTTTCTGTGAAAAACATCATAAATCATGATCACAGGACCACAGAGCCGCTGCAAACAGCCGTAAATGCCAAGTGCCCAAAATACAATCACGTGACACCGCACAGGGGAGGGGATGTCAGAACTTGGGAACCAGGACATGAGTAGCTTTGGGGGGGGGGAATCCACTGAGACATCAAACAGTTGTTAATTGATTGGTCATAAGGCAAGGATTGTCTGTATCACATCTTCTCTCAAGCTACCCTTCTGGAAACCAAAGACAGTTATGTTTTTTCACTATTCCTGCCAGAACTTGGTTTCTAGATATTTCTCCATCTTGGTAGCCCACGGACCCCAGATCCCCCCTCACCTCTTTCCCCAAAGGCATCCCGCTGCCTAAGGCACAGGTCAGTCCAATGACTTTGGCCACGAAGGTCTTGAGGGTAAGGTATTCCTTCAGCACCACTCCACGCAGGATAGTTTTCATTTCTGGGATGCCAGAGCCTGTAGAGAAAGAAAAAGAAAAAGAAAAAGAGGAGAGAAGAGAAGAGGAGAGAAGAGAAGAGAAAAGAAGAGAAGAGAAGAGAAGGAGGGAGAGAGAGAGAGAAGAGAAGGAGGGAGAGAGAGAAGAGAAGAGAAGAGAAGAGAAGAGAAGGAGGGAGAGAGAGAGAGAAGAGAAGGAGGGAGAGAGAGAAGAGAAGAGAAGAGAAGAGAAGAGAAGAGAAGAGAAGGAGGGGGAGAGAGGAGAGGAGAGGAGAGGAAAGAAAAGAAAAGAGAAGAGAAGAGAAGGAGGGAGGGAGGGAGAGAGAGGAGAGAAGAGAAGAGAAGAGAGGAGAGGAGAGAAGAGAAGAGAAGAGAAGGAGGGAGAGAGGAGAGGAGAGGAGAGAAGGAGGGAGAGAGAGAAGAGAAGAGAAGAGAAGAGAAGAGAAGAGAAGAGAAGAGAAGAGAAGAG